TAAACATCAGAGAAAAATGTTCCTACATACCTAGGTCCAGGCCTTCTCAGAGTCATGCTATTGAAAAAACATAATTAAACCTGTATGTCAATGTTGATGGGCAGCTTTTCATAGTATTTCTGTAAGTTGCTGTCTGACTGCAGTTAAACATTAATTATTTAATGTGAACTATAGCAATGAATATAAAGCCTGCATATTTTACAATTTAACTAGATTAAAGTTGGTACTGTGAAAATCATGGAGCTTTGAAACTGCATGGAGATCTTTGTGTGATGCATTCAAGTGACTGGGAACAAAGTGCACATTTGAAGCTGTACTCAGTCTGTTTCTCCATTTTGCATATTCAGACATCGGTACACTCTGTGTTTAAAGGCTTCGGGGTACTTTTTGCCAACTTTCTTGGTCAAACAACACACACATTCAGTCAAAGCACCAGATTTGATTTTTCACTTGGCTCCCTCTTAAATCTCCAGGTCTCCTCATGACTGTGCTGTTTTATTTATTACCATCGCTCAAGTGCAGAGCACTTATTCCATGGTCTTGGATACAACTCTGCCATGTACAGGATTAAAATGTCGTAGCTTCAGGACAGCTTCTTTGCTTTTGTACTCGTGTCTCGTCTCTGGAGACATTCCCGATCACTCCTCTGTTCACCTCCCTACATGATGTGCTCCTTAAATGCACAATTATACTCGTACCAAATCTGTTTTCCCTTTCATGTTGAGTTTTTTTCTTTGCATTCGAAACACAAGGACAAAAATCTCTTAAATGATTCAATACCAGTCCACCCACAAATACATATGTAGACTTGAAATCAAAAAAGTTTCTGTTCCAGGTACAACTTATGAAAATGATGCACAACGCAAGTGTAAAGCTACTGATTTTCAAGGTTAACCGTTTCAACACGGCTTGTGCAGTCTCTGTTAGGTTATTAATCTTTTATTTATCAAATTTAGAATGGTTATTAGTATTGTTATTTATTTTGAATTTTCCTAAAATAACTGGGTTGTCATGATAATCTATGGTTTATTCGCACAAAGACTAACATCAAACATAACTGTTCTGAAGTCTAAGTTTGAGAATTGCTGAGGCCTGATGGTTTGAATATGGTACAAATTTTCATAGTCTGTCATAGAATGAATGTAAGTTTTTCTTGCACTACTCTGGCCTATTTCTTCTTGGCAAATGTGCAATTCTCCTGTTAAGCTCTCATATTTGGCCTAAATATGTGGCACCATTGCTGTGAAAATGTATATGAACAGCTGTCATGTTCGAGCATCCCCTTTTAGAAACGTGTTCATAAAGGCATCGCTAGCTTTCCCTGAGATGCTAAATGAATGTGGAAAGTGGGGAAAGCGTTCAAAGAGAATGATCAAGTTTACACATCAAGTAAATCTGCCTTCGTGTGTGTATGAAAGCAGTAAATCTACTGTATGATCTCTCCTCACAGGAAGATTAACCAGAGTTTTGCAGAGTATCCTCGCACATCTGTCTGTAGCAAACACATTCACGTGGCCACCCAGCGTCTCAGCTATTACCGCTGTCTCACACATTATTCGGCTGCCCCATTACACATGCCCACTTGTTTGTTCCCTTGTGACTTGGCATGTGAGGTAGGCCGGTATTATCTTCACTGTTAAGCCCTGTATGTGTGAACGCACACACACACACAAACACACATGCACTGCACTGAATACACACTCCCCATATGGGATGCCCACCCCTCTTTTCCCCAGGGGATCGTGTATGCTGATGTAATGATATCTGATAGTAAGGGTGGAGATATTTAGACAATATTTTGTAGCACAACATTTTGCAAGCGCGGCTCCTCATCTTACAGCTTCTCCCATGGCAACGACCCTAGTATTATCCTGCTTCCATGACAACCCTTCGTGAATCTGGTTTGACCTTCACCAGTGATTCAGTGTCTCTCCATCCACCTCCATTCTTTCTCTGCAGTTCTGTCTCTCTCATTCTCTGTTCCGAAATGCAAACTTCCACTTTTTTTTTTTTTTACCCTGCTCTATAGCCTGTATTCTGTGATTCTTTTTCTCCTGCTGTGTGGGTGTAGCATGGCTACTGTTACACAAGCAGTCAGTATATCTACACGAGCCGATGTCATACTTGAGGGGACAGTCTGTTCGTATGCGCAAACGTCCAGCAAACCAGGCTTTCCACCCTGACTCAGTGCTTTTAGCTAGCAGGCATGTGGCTGCTTGTTGCAGAGCTGCAGGTGCAGATTAGCCCGAGCTCACCTACTAACAAAGGAACTATTGTTTTCTCTCAGCCACAGAAACTGGAGAGGCTGAAGTGAGCTAGGAAATATTGATACATTAATGGCACGGGCGTATTTAGAGATGTTTGTGCGCGCCACAGTGGTTTCTGAGTTGTGCAGTTTCTATGTGCAATCAACCTGTCATACAACTCTTATCTGGTATGCGGATATGAGCCTGATAGCTCTTACACAGGTTGTTTCATGCCTGCCAAATATTCCCTGGATGAAACAGTAACGTTGCGAAACATTTGAATTTTCCTCCTTATGCCTCTTTAGTAATTTTCTAGAATTGTCTGATGCTTCAGTGCACTTGAGGATTACTTACAGCCTGATTTTCTGGTAGTGTCGATGTGTGCTACGATATTGAAATTGCCATGGTAACCATTTGCATCTTCCAGGTCTGATTTTCTTTTTTTTCTTTTTTTCTTTTTTGGTACCATGTTTATGCATTGTACATTGTACAGCAATTAACAGACAGAAGAAGAGCTCTTGCAGACTCAAGTAATTCTTTAACCCTGTGGCCCCTTGTCCTCCTTCCAGTGGGAGCTTTTGTCTGCAATACATTGATGGATGCTCATTAGTTAATTGATCCAGCTAGTTGAAGCAGCCAACAGGGTCTCTAAGCTCTTGGGGCTGTGATCAGGGATGTGTAAGCTGCTTAGCAGGCCTACTGGGAACTGACAGGATGCTTTGACCTGCTTCTCTGCTCTTGTAAAGTATAAGATCACTGAACAGGTTGCAATGTAGGCAAAAGGCCTAACTGTGTTAGGCATCATGAGATGACCTCATCTCAGATTATTCTATTTCTGAGTCTTAGAACCTTCCTCGTTGACAGCAGTTTCATCCCGTTTGTTGACATCATCATGTTACATATTTGCACACCTGCATTGTGGCTGGCTGGCATGCCTGAAGCGGAACTTTAATTCCACCTCTCAATTTGCACATCCTCCATTCTTCTGTGTGGCTGACGTAGCACATTGATATGCGCTTTCTCCAGAGCCATCGTTTTTGGAAGAGCGGTGGTGAGACGTAATGGCTGACAAGGCATAGTTTTGTGTCATCATACAGCGTAGTCTCATTATTAGTCAGAATAACAAGTAATCAGTTTGTTTTTTAGACACGTATACTAGTATTATTGTTTTTCCATCAACAATACGAGGCTGATGTTTCATGAACCATTCAGACACCGTATATGTCAAGAAGACTTATTCAAAGGATGCAAAGATATATTCTTACTAAATTAAATGTTTAAAGGCAGTATAGATTAAAATGGAGCAAGCAGAGTACAATATGGAAAAATGAACTGTTTCCATAACTGCTTACAATTTCAGTGATTTCCATCCATCCGTTTTCCGTAACTGAGATCAGTTCATGATTGTAGGGGGACTGCTGCACAGCATAGCTGCATTCAGGCAGGGGACACCAGCCCACGCCCCAAAATGTCAAAGCCCTTTGTCTCTTGTACTTTTTGTATATAAGTTTAGACAATATTTTAGCCAAAATGTTAATTGCATATTACATTGTTCTTGTTTACTTCATTTAAAGTACTTAGTATTTATCTTTTATATGAACTGGCACCACATACATGCAGAGTCAACTCTGCCATGCTCACTTTCTGGGCTAGCTCTTGGCTTGCTCTCTGCTGACATGGACACCACTTCAAAGTCTGTCGGTGCAGTGTTGTAGTTTGCACTGAAACCACTTCAGCTCAGTTCTGAATACTATTAGTGCTTTTTAAGATGGGCTGAGATGGCATCTTATTAGGTCAGCGTTCAAAAGAGGACTCAGCGGGTGAGTGTGAAATGAGCCAGAAAAAAATCTGACATTAGTTGTCAGCATACTGTTCTCTACTGTTAGCTCTCATGCTTTTTTTTTTTTGTCCAGACAGGGTTTCAGAAATATGTTGACAGTGGTTCTTCGGCTTTTTTTCAAAGACTAGCTTGCATTTCAATTTAAAGTATGCCAAAGGATTCTGCAATACTTAGAGAAGCTGAATTAGGGTCTGTTTGCCTGTAGTCACATTGATGACTATTCTCTGAACTCTTAATATTGGCAATCAAAAGTGTGCATGGGCAAAATGAAATATCTTCCACATGGCTGAAGGAGCGTTGCACCTTACCAAAGAAATGTTTGTGTCTCATTTTTCTGTACATGTGGATCTCTCACTGTCTTTCCACCAGGTCTTTATTTGTATGTGTCCTTCGCTCAATGTGGCTCTTTGTGTTCCTTTTCTTGACAATGCACTGCATATTCAGAAGAGGCAGCCTGTAGGTATATGAAAGCAATATAATCAAAGCTGCATGCCCCCATCTTATTGTTCTGTTTTCATTAATTATTTTTATTATTAGTTTTCAACCATTCTTTGACATATTAAGTTGTATAGAAGAAAAATAAGTTTATTTTGGACATTACGTCCCCAAGATCAAGCTTGCTTTGTTTTTCATTAAGGTTTCTTTCCAGGTCTTGTGTGTGTGATGTTGACTACCATCTTGTAACAAACCTTCATCATGTTCATCACTGTCCCAGTTACTAGTCACTTGTCCTCAACCTCTGTGTCTTGGTTTACTGCATGAGCTTTGCATGCTGGGGTCTCTGTTTTTCTCTCTTGCTTCTCTTGTTTCTTCTTTTTTGCTACCCTCAAGTTTCTGACTCCTCTCCTGTCAGTTCTCTGCTTGTGTTATAGAGTATTCATGTGCTTTCTGTGTCTCTGCTTCTCTGTCTGCAGGGGATGTGCTGTTCCAGATGGCTGAGGTTCACAGACAGATCCAAGTACAGCTAGAGGAGATGGTTGGTATTCTAACCTCTATTCAAAATGGTTATTGGTTGAGTATGTCAAGACTAATATTGTATATTTAGATATGTTAAAGGCTAGATGGAAGACAAGATATTACACCAGTAATATATTTTAGAGAAAAATTATCTCTTAAATATAGAACTGATTTAGATGTTATTCCCTTATGACTTTCACATAAGAATAATTTAAGCATCAACCCCAATGTTTAATTCAGTTTGATATTCAGCTCACATTGAACCCAAAAGCCACATGTTAGAGAATGGTAGTGGGTTTGGACCAGATGGGGTCCTTTGCACATTTACTGAGTAGCAGAGTACATTCAGTGTTATTCTGAATGTTTCCAGTAACCGAGCAAAGAAGAAGACTGTGTTATTCATTACTTAATGTTTACTACTTTTCACATGTTGAGTGAACAGGTTTTGTGGTGTTTTTCTTTTCTCTCCAGTTGAAATCATTCCACAATGAGCTTCTTTCTGAGCTTGAGAAGAAGGTGGAGCTGGATGCTCGATATTTGACCGTGAGTATCAAAGTGTAATCTTTGCTCTCCTTTTGACAATCCTGGTGAATGCCTTTGACATCTTAGATCAGCGCTATAGAACTGCTCCAGGGCCAGCAGTCCTGCAGGTTTGAGATGTTTCCCTACCAACACCTGAATAACACCACACATCCCTCTCTTAGATAATTTTAGCAGTATATTTAGTGTTGTGCTGAATCAGCCGATTCTTAGTTTGAATAAAGTGATCATTTATGGAGAAGAAACCTGCCTGTGCTAAGATCTGATTGTGTTTATATTCAAAATTTCCCGTCTAATGTATGGTCAGTGTTAGACTGATTAGAAGAAGCCCCTCGTGGAGTGTTTGTATAAGTGTGTGAGTACTGCGGAGTGGGTCTACATGTGATATCTTTAGAATGAGTGGGCTGCAGCCTGAGTGTAGAACAGTATTGCTGTGTGTTTTTTTGGGGGGATGGGTTAGCTTTGCCATTATCGTGTTGTATCACATGGAGAGAGCGCGTTATGTGCTGCCTCAGCTCAGCTCAGCTGCTCACTCACTCACACATTTACTAGGATGGAGATTTCAGAATTTCAGAGATTATTATTTAACAAGCAGTCCATCACTAATATAGGACATCAGGTTCAGTTTAAAGTTATTGCCCTAATATCAACCCCAAAGGAACTCTGGCTCTATCGATCTCTCTATCTCTCTCTCTATCTATCTCTCCATCTATCTCTCTGTCAGACAAGTAGATATCAATCAATAGATATCTGAATCTAAACTCGTATATCTTTGAAACCTTTCCGTTTAGGTGTCTTTATACTCATTTTCCCATGAGGCTTTAACATCTCTTATTTATTGTGAATTCTATATAGATGTGGTACAGTACGCTAATTTGTGTTAGAATTAATCTTCTAAATATATCAAACGTTTTACTGAGTTTAAAAGGAATTTAAGAGAAACATCTTTTTGTTCTTGAGACTGCAGTCGTCCCAGTGGTGAATCATTCTCTCTCTCCTGTCTGTGTCCAACTTGTTACAATTCACATGGTGTAGAAATCAACCATTTTGTCAAGGCCAGTCTTCCCTCTGAGGCTTGGATAAGGTGTTCCGTCTTCACCATTATTTAACTGTACTTTTTAGAGGAACTAAATAGATAACATTCTTACTGCCTTTAAAAAAAAGTTTAACTTCTTTACCTTTTCAAACGAACAATTTACAGTTTTGCTTTAATCATTTTATAATATTCCTTTAAAAGCCCTTGTTCACTTGATAAATGTCTGAGTTCAGGTCTAATTCTTACACAGTCTGTTTAGTTATCAAATCTGAAACTCTTTATTCAAAGCAATTACAGACACATTAGTCCCTTTACCAGTGCCTTATTAATTATGTCTACAAATAGCATTCAAATTAGGCATGTGTAACTCAATGCCATTAGCCAAACAAATTCAAAGGGGGTGATTAATGATCATATGGAAGTATGGCATCTCTATATTTTCTTATAGCGGTTAGAAACAAGCTTTGTAATTTCCCTGGTGTAGCTCAGTGTCAATGGCAGTGTTTTGTTTATCTTTTACTTTTTTGTTTTTGATACTAAAAGGTTTTGGTAGACCAAATAAAGTGACAATAGGACCATTACTAATACAAGGGATAACTTAATTGACAAAGTAACGACAAGTTTGCATTGAGTAACTAAATGGAGCAAAAAAATGAAAAAGCTGTATTGAAGCATCTGACATCCAAAGCTTGCCGTAACTCACTGGCTGCAATATTTAACACCAGAAGTCAGTTTTGCTTTATCAATTAGAAAATATATACCTCAGGAAGTGATAGTAAGGATGACAGAACTAATGGACTTTTTGATTTTGTAGTCTTCTGTAACAGCTTCATATTCTTATTCAGTTTGATACTATGTAGCAAAAATGAGAAACATTTGTGTGTGTTTCTTTATAAGACAACATATCCATCACATAGAGTATGCTGAAAAAAGACACTACATGATAAATTGCACTTCTGGTCTCTGTCACCTGAAAATGCTGGGCATGTTGTGAAAAATCTGTTGCTGTCTCTGTTGTTTCACACAATAACTCTCATAAGATTTTTACAACACACAGTCAGTCATTTCACAGGTGTCAAAGAGTGGGTGTAAACCTGCAATTTTTGTAGGACCAAGCACAAGTTTTTTTTTATGTGCAGACACCGTTCACCCCCTGACCCCCACAGTTTCCATTCCGATTTAAGTGCCATGTTTAGCTCTCTGATGTAGCAGAAGTAGAGAGGTGTCTTTGAGGCAAAACGGTGCCCTACCTTTAATCAGAATCATTTGAGTTCAAAGGATGACATGGAATATCCTGATTACGCCTTATATTCCTGCAAAGGTTTCACAATAGGCATTGGAGTCTCCTGTAAACATTTTCACTGCAGGAAGTTCATTTGTTGACATCAGTAATTACTTCCCCAGTTAAAAAGTTTTGAAAAATTAGACATTTTAAGGTAACTGCTGATTTGGAAAATTGATGTTGACATGATGAATTCTATCTTTTGATTTATTTATTTTTGGTAAGTTTTCAGTGAAACAGGACTTCAGCACCTCTGCTTGTCTGACAGTAACAGCAGCAGCTTCCTTACTGCTGTTAGTCTGAATGCTAAAATAATATCAGCATATAATATTATTGAGTTTTAAAATGCACATGTGAGAGTTTAATCCCAGTTATGAAATCTGCTCTATCAATTTTGCCTCCCAGAAAGAAAACATGAGCTTTTTCACACCAGACACTGTTACTATAGCAACTGAGCTCATTAAGCCTGGAAACAAAGTTGCTTTCCCCCCCCAATAAATGATTAATAAAGCAAATTAGATGGGTTAAGGGGTTGATCATTCAATTAATTCATTTTATCTTTCATATATTTTCTCTAAAAATCTATTCTTTTAACCCCACCCTATCTGCAGATTGTAACCGATTTTTGCTTCTTGATGAAAGACAAAATAATCAGTTGCTGCGGATGTTTGTGGAGACTCAGGTGTAGGCTGGGATGATGTCAAATTAAACCAGGAGGGCTGTTTGGGAGTGAACACTGAGCTTGTTAAGGATATCACTTGAGTTTATTTGCTCATCATACAAGCGGGGTTTCTGAAAGTTCTTGGAAAAAAGAACAATTATTGCTCTCAGACCAACAATGCTATTCACCAGTTAATCAGAACCGTACAATCGACTCATAAGTGCAGCATGAGAAGACATCTCGGGATGTCATGTTATGTGCAACCCTGGATCGTTGGTAGCACGTCCTTTTGGTTGCTGAGGGCTGTGGGGTAGACCCTCTGTTAACTGGGGTTCATTGGATACATGTCACGGTCAGTCGGATTGTCTGCTGACGAGACAAATTCTTCTGTTAGGCAAGGTCACTTTATCGTTCTTGGGGTGATGGTTGCCATCAGCTAGTGCCCGTACCATGGCAGGATCAGTTTGCCTGGTCTTTAGCCACATTTTTCTGTTGCTAATAGCTTCAGAGTAACAGTTGCTGGTCATGCACCATTGGTTTGTTACTGATGCTCCGGGAGTGTCAGATGTCTCGGCTTCTTTTTCATGTGGGCTTTTTAATTTTGTGGCTACTTTTAAGAGGTCTGATTTTTTACTTTTATGTTGCTTGATGCCCCCTTGCAGGCTGCCTTGAAGAAATACCAGGTGGAACACAAGAGCAAAGGCGAGAGTCTGGAGAAATGCCAGGGTGAATTAAAGAAGCTGCGGAGGAAGAGCCAGGGCAGCAAGAACCCCTCCAAATATGGAGAAAAGGAGATGCAGGTGAGCCCCTCTCTTGATTTCTGCACAGGAGAAAATATCACATTAAAAGTGCATGATCAAACAGAGAATTTGATTAGCAATTAAACATGTTATTCAGTGATAAACAAAGAAAAAAGCCTAAAATGGCCAAAAACCATAAGAGCAACTGTTGACGCATCACGTTCTGTTGCACTGTTTTCCTTTGTTTTTGTGTTCACTGTTTTTGCAGGTTGAGTGGATGTGGGCGACGATTGGATTTGAAATTTATGAGACTTCTTGAAAATAATCACTTCATTCTTTACAAAGTGAAAACAATAGAGCTGGTATGGAGGAAGAATCAGAGGCAAGAAAATGTCTGGAGTGGGAGGGCAAATAGTAAAGACTTCATTTGAAGCCGGGTGCCCTCTGCAAACTTAATTACATTTACAGGCACACATGCAATAGTCATATAGACACACACACACTCGCTTACATGAAAAAAATCACAGTAATTGATGTAATGAAGGTGCGTGCTCAGTTCAGTCAGTGATTTGGCACCAGGCTTTGATCAATGTTTATCAGGATGAGTAAAAGCACAGTGTTCACATATTCCTCAAAATAGGTGGCACAATTTTCAAAATGGGCCATGTGGGATGTTACCAACAGTTTCTGACACTGATATATGAACATAATAACCTCACAAATAAGTTCTATGCATTATTTTCATGTGAAGTGATAAAGGGATATAATTCATTTGAGGAATTACTGAGACTATTTTGTATTAAAGGTACTTGTATTCATTTTAAGGGATCAGATCAATATGTTTTTCAAAACAAAAGTTAGTTTTACACAAAAAAGGTTTCCTTCCATAGCAACCTCTGACAGAGCCTTTTGGGTGTAATAAACTTTGATGGTTTTCCATCAGTCAACCTCCAATTTGACAGTGAAAGCTGAAAAATCTAACACAAAAAATGGCAATTAGCCTCTTTCTCTGAACACTCTCACAAGTCCTGAGTGTTTGTTGCTCCATTGTTTGCCCTTTTGTCCAATGTTACTGCTAAACTGAGAAAGGTTGCACTGCAGTCAATGAAAGTGCTGTGAATGCCACAGAGATTTCATTGGAATTTTGACATGGTACTGAGGCAAAAATGTCAAACTGACAGGTCAAGGCTTACACGGTTACTGAGCTGCCTGTTGGTCTGGCTGAGATGTGCAGTCAGCAGACTCATTAAGACCAAAACTTCTGAATGCAAACTTTCCCGGTGCTCACTGGGCATAAAAATGATTTGCTGCCAAGCCATTGGCGAAGGAATACCTCCTCTGTCCACACATTTTACATGCCACTGCTCACACCAAATCCACACATTCACACATCCATCCATTCCTGTCTGCGCTGGTGCTGCAGCGCTGGATTGATGTGACGGCTGCGTCGCATTAAGTTTGTTCCACTGTATTGAGAATGCCTTAAAGAGATGCTGTTAAATGTTGTCATGAGTTGTCAAGATTGTCAGTGTGTCCAACAGTCCATCTTAGCATGAAACGCAGCTTGATGACTATGTGGGTTCCTCACCGGAAAAGAGTTAAGTTACTTTGTGCCTGCTTATTCAACCCCTTAAAACTCTAATGGCCTGTCAGTCAGCTGTCCAATGTTGTGTACAGTTTTGATTCAAGCACAAGTGCTATATATAAATAGGCGCATGTGCAGTTTATAGACTTTTAGAAAGTTGGGGTTCTTGGGATTTAGTTGAGTCACAGCACACTGACCAAAGCTGCTTTGTTAAGCAAGAAACATCCAGGCTAAAAATCACAAGATATGGGCTTCTCACCTAAAGTGAATCCTGGTTATATTCTTACAAGTGTATGATCAATATAATATGACCATTTACCAACAACATCATTTACAACTCAATAATTTCCCACAGATTGTTACTGGGTCAGTACCTTCTCATCCGTGTCTTCTTTTATAAGCCTGATTTGGATGTGAATAATTAAAAAAAAAAAAAACAATGCAAACTGTACGTTTGCAAAGTTTGGTCACATGTGAGGTTTAGTCAGACTATTCTATGAGTCTATATGTCCAGCTGCACATGTGGTGTCTATTTTGCTGTATTTCAAATGTCTGCCATACTGCTAGGTAGCGAGGGCTGATTTGAAAGAATTTAAAATGTGGTTTAATGGAGGCACTAACACTGTAAATCTTCAGAGGATCTCCCAGAACTTCAATTGTGGCATTTTGTTATTACAATGGCTTAATGGAACTATTCAGATCAGAAATCTACTGAGGGTTTTGGCATTCATCTTCAGTGCGCAATGAGACCATAGATCATCATCAGCCGTTCATTATAAATAGCATATTTTTGAGAGATTGAATAAATCGGGAAACTGATTTACGGACTATACTGTCGGGCTGTTAGCTGAACCACTAGTAAAAAAAAAAAAAGACAACTTTACTCCTCTCTGCATATTGAACTTACATTAGAGTAGTAAAAATACCTTATATATGTGTAACAGGATTGTTCAGTTGGGGTCCATCTGTGCAGAGGGATGAGCTCATCAGGCTGTCGACTCCTAATACACAACCAGTTAACAGGAAAAGAAAAATCAATCTCCCTTTCTTATTTTCAGCCTGCTCACTTTCACTGATCATATCACGGCTGTGGGCGTGTGAGAGAAAAGTCAACTAGTTTGTGCCTGAGCCCTGCAGGGAGTACAGCACACAAAGAGAAAGAGAGCCCTGCTCTCCCACAAGACTTGTGCTTCGTAATGACAACAGTCCACCTAAAAAAAAATAGTTTAGGTTTTGACAGGCTTTAAATGACTTCTCTCAGGCAGCAGGAGACTGCCGAGAAAGTACCGGTCACTGTTTGAAATTTGAGGGCTGTTCATTCTCCTCCTCTGACACATTAGTAAAACTTAAGAAGCTGGGATTAATTTTCCATCTCTTTTTTCATTAAAATATATCTGAGCGCTGTCTGGGTGAAATTCATTGAATGCTGCTTCATTGTCACTCACCACCTCTGTCTGTCTCTTTGTCTTCCTTCTTTTCCCTACTGTCTACTTTCTTCACACACTTCCACTGTGGCCGGTCATCAGTGGATAAAGCCTCCTGAAATGCTAATCACTTCTTTGTGTAGTTCATTGGATGTCACCACGGCACTGTGGAGAGGAATTTTATTAAGATAAACTCCTTTACACTTTAGAAGCCTTTCAGTAAGGACACAGTCAGAGACGCAGCTCTACTATATGAATAATGTTGGGAGATTTTTGATTAACTCCGACCAGTGTCATAAGTTTAAAAAAAGAAAGAAATTTGACAGCACACATTCATGCAGAATGCTGAGAAAGGTGTTGGTTATGTATATGAATAAAAACTTATGTAAAACATAAGCAGATACCTTTGGAGTAGCTGCTGTCTTTGGTGCCCTGGAGCATTGTGATGCATTGCTTTTTAATCTAAAGAGCGCTGATGATGAAGGAACATAAACAAAACAGGAGACCTTAGTTGCTTGAGACTGTACAGGGAAATGCTTTTGGAATTCCCAGAGGGATTCGGCATAGTAGAAACAGTTTTGCTGCTGTGAAGCCTGGTGTAGTCTTCACTTTTCGAATTGTGTGAAAGCCTCTCCTCCCAATGCTTGTAATTACTGGAAAATGTGTTGGTGTGCTGCCGTGTCAGGATTCTGTCCTAAATATGTCAGTGTAAGGATGCATGCAAGTAAGGCTGTAATGCTGATCGGTTAAAGCTTAAGTGTAGGAGGAGCACTACTGATTTGCAGGTTCCTTTTATGTTCTTTGCCTTTGCTAAACAAGTTATTCCAGGTATGATGTAACCCGAGGTTACTCAGAGATAATAGTGACTGCTGTCTGTCTGTGCTTTTCCCACTGCACTCATTATCTTGGGTTACTTTGGTGACCTTTCGAATGGCTGGAGAATGGGGCCATGCTGATTTGACAAAAAGCAAGCAGATATGGTTCGGGCCGCTCCCATTAGTGCTGGTTTGAGGTGTTGGAGAGGCTATCAGACTGTGAGTCAGACTGCAAAAAGACAAAATGGATCACTCCACCTGAGAGACGGCGGGGATGGCACTTTGGTTGTGATCTTTCAAAGGGTCATTACACCGTATGGTTTTCTGTGATCAACTACCCATTCACAAATCCTTGCACTGAAAGAGCCCAGCTGTGTCTCTCTTTTTGCAGGACATTTCTTCGGCACATCATGTCTCTCTCGTTCTCTCCTCTATTTTCTCTGCAGTCTAGAGTGTGAGTCATTCCAAACTTTAATCACCATCTATAGTTTTCACAAGAAAAAAGATAAAGGGAAAGAAAATAAATCAACTTTGCAGCTTGTGTGGTAAATTTAAACTCAACCTGCAGAGAGGTTGCTCATACATAGAAAAGCTCTAAAAACGAAAAATAGGAAAGAAAAATAACTTACTCAACTAGTTTTGAAGCTCTTTATTTACAGCTACTATGCCCAAAGACCCAGAATAAGATCATTCTCCATTCAGGAATGGCTTAAATGTTTAAATTCTGAAATGAATATTGATTTTCTTATCCTTCTGGTTGGATTTGGAAAGCGATTGTGTCTTATTGTCGGATTTCTGGGCAAATGCAAAAGAAACACTTCTCAAATGTTTGAGTAGACTGTTGTTTAGCCACTTAAAGTACCACACCACACTTGATTTGCTAAACACTGAATTAACCTCAGGACTGCTGGTAGTGGAGAAGTAGTGTGCTCTGGTGGTGACTAAACAAAATGCATTTGCACTCTATGTTGGAGCATCAGAAGCTGCAGGGAGAACCCCCAATTAGCACTTTAGAAATACATACACATTTTCATATATATATATATATCATTTTGAAGATCTCAAACAAAGACTTACCTGACAGTAACAGCTCTCTTGCTTCGTTCCCATTTATCACTTTTTACAGACATTAACATACCACTCATTTGCTATTTTTCAATAGTTAAAGTGGAATAGGGAAGTTGTGGGAAGTTCCTCCCTCACACTGCGGGATATTAAGTAATAATTGCTTTCCTTCTACATGCTCAGCAGAGAGAACTGGCAAACAAAAAAAAAAACGTCACACAATAATTCTCTTTCCTTGCACAGCTTATGCTGCCAAGGTGCACTTAACCCCTAATCGCTCGAGTAGAATTCTGCATTGTGCTGAACAACTCCCAGAAAGAAATGTGTAAAGAAATTAATCTGACCTATTAGTCAGCTGTTAGCTTTCTGCTTAGACCTATTATTTGATGGTTTCTGACAGTTTGTCTTATCTGTTCAATGAGACAGCTGTCATTTTGGCATTTTTGTTTTCCTTTCTTTTTTCTCACAGTGAACCAATAACCAAAATAGTCCTTCACACTGTCCCAACTGTGAAAATATCAGTGATCCAGATTTTGAAATAAGATATCCTGCATTTACCCAATATGTGCTGTTAGAGAATTTTCTAGACTTTGGGGCTTTGAGACTGGGCTGGTAAATGATTCTCTTTTTGCCATTGTGTGTTTGTCTGCAGTTTGTGGAGACCATCAGCAGCAAGCAGACTGAGCTGGACACCTTCATCGCCGAGGGATACAAGACAGCCTTGTCAGAGGAACGTCGTAGGTACTGCTTCCTAGTGGATCGACAGTGTGCTGTGGCTAAGAACAGCAGTGCGTACCATGGCAAGGTACTGCAACATCACTTATTCTTCTTCTTGTTTTTACATCAGTTGAGCTCTACCTGTTTAAGAACTGAGGGGCGGGGAGATTGTTTAGCCTGAAATAATTCTTTACACATATTTGGAAACACTTTACAGCTAAACATGCCTGTGCAGAGGTCTTTTCTTATATTTGTGGAACCTGTTTTTATAAAATTCTGTTCGCTTTGACCACTCACAGAAGCCTTTTCAGTTTGAAAGATGTCTCAAGGCTGCAGACAATGACCAGCTCACAGGCATATGTGAAGCAGTAATCCATCATTTCCTGTTCGACTATCTGGTCACCTTTTGGTAGAGGACTGCCTTACCTTCTCTGTCCATGAAAAGACTAACAGGGAAATAAATCAAAGTGCTTCCTTTAGTGTTCACTGGTTTGAAATAAACCTTGAGGACAATAAGCAGGACAAAATCTCCTAACTGCTTTAAAAACACTGTTTACAACACGCTGGAGAATAGTTCTTTCTGTTTGTTATATTTCACTTTGCTGCTGACATTTGAAATAAAACCCCCTTCGGTCCAAACATTTTTCATGATCTCTCTTGTAAAGGATTATTAAAGCCTAGTTTAGTCAGATCATACATATTAATGGTTGGCCTTTTTGTATGTGTTTGTGTGGGTGTGTGCCTCAAATGCACACCTATCCATCTCTCAAGATGATCAAATTCATGGGTAGTGGAGTACATCAGTCAACTGGGATTACTGGTGGGTGCGAACTGTCAGCCTGAAGATGTGGCTGGAGGAGGACGATATATACAGTCTGTGTTTCTGTGTATTAATGTGCTGCAGCGTCTTCGTCTTTCTCTGATTTCTTCAAAATGGAGTCTGGTCATTAATCATAATGGGGGCGTGTGTGGGAAGTGTTCACTTTCAGCAAACTGAAGAACCCTCTCCCAGAGGGTTGCTAAAGAGTATTTGCATCTATGTAAGATCTTTATCATTATACAGGCAAAAAGAGTTTCGAGCTTCAAATTACGACATACAAAGGGACATAACGCAGTCTGTTTGAGTGTGCAATACTCGCCTCAGAGAGATACGACTTGTATACGGTAGTTGTTAAAAGAACAGCTGTGTCCGCAGGCTGGGAGATGTGGCAGTGGGCAGCTTGATTGTATGAAGGTCAGCTTCAACCACGCAGCACACTGTCATAGCTACTCAAAGATAAACAGTTTTGTATTGCATTATTTGGAAAGAAAAACAAAATGGAACCACAAATGAAATTATTAGCTTATTTTTTCATATTTGTTCATATTACAGGTAACATCTTTCCTTTCTGTATCTTGTTTTTTTTAATCACTAAATTATCCTTTTAGGGGAAAGACCTCTTGACTCAGAAAATTCCAGTGTGGCAACAGGCCTGCTCAGACCCTAACAGGCTGCCAGAAAGGGCCATGCTCCTGGCCCAGCAGATGGGCTCTGCTGCGCTTGGAGGCACAAGTCCCCTTCACACCTCCAAATCCAACCTGGTCATCTCAGACCCCATCCCTGGAGCACAGCCTCTTCCTGTTCCCCCAGAGCTGGCCGTTTTCATGGGTAGTGGTCTTGGACACCCAGCGGTGAGCAAATTATTTACATACTCTTATTCATATATGTACACACACACACAGGTGCATGCAGTGTGTCATCTCTATTAATTTAAGTTGTTCTTGTGACAACATTGCACAACTGATGTTTGATGTAGTTACTCTATCCTTAAATCTGTTCATTGATTTCAGAGGCTGATGGGCCCTGATGGTATGTCCATGGTCAATGGGACAACAGGGGTCCATGGAGAAGAATACTGGACAGATGGGGGAACAATGCCTGTGTCCCAAGTCAGGCCTTCATCCCCCCAGACCCAGGCGCAGGGCCAGTCTCAGGCCCAGCCTCAGAGACAGGTCAGCGACGTCTACTCCAACACTCTCCCAGTCCGTAGGCCTGCCCCTGCCAAAAATAAAAATCCAGTCGGTAAGATATCCAAAAAAGATCCTTAAATTTTATCATTCATTTGCATATTTGAGCTCCAAAGCAATTCTTATAGATGTATGAAGAGCTATTATACAGTGGAATGGCTATCTGTTGTTGGTCTGATAATGATGACTCAACACATTTTAGTTAATTTGGCAGTGTTGTGGGTTTTTTAGTATTGCACAAGCACATTTAGGATGTCACTAAGTTTAGAACGCTGACTTGTTGCTGACTACCCTTACTGAGCTTAACACTCATGATTATTTAATAATGTTCATAATTTAAGAATCGCAATCTTCACAGGAGAGACACGGACCCTGCCAAGGTCCAGTTCCATGGCAGCAGGACTTGAAAAGAACGGGCGCTCTCGTGTCCAGGCCATCTTTTCCCATGCTGCAGGTGACAACAGCACCCTGCTCAGCTTCGCAGAGGGAGACGTCATCACCCTGCTAGTGCCTGAAGCCCGCGATGGCTGGCACTATGGAGAGAATGAGAAAAACAAGATGTAATTTGAGGATTTATTTGTTTAGTCTTGTCTGTTGTCTCACGTTCAAGGAAAGTATGCCTTTAACAACTTCTGCAAATTTTTCAGGCGTGGCTGGTTCCCATTCTCCTACACGCGCGTTCTACCTGAAAGTGACAGCGATAAACTCAAAGTGAAGTATGTCATTTTCATTAATTGTAGTTTGAATTTGACGAGCCAAACTGGGACAAATTCTGAAGCCTCTGTCCTTGAACATTTCCAGCCTCCATCATGGGAAAAGCAGCAGCACAGGGAACCTGCTGGAGAGCGATGCGTCTCTGCCCACACCCGACTATGGCCTCACTGCCCGGCTGCTGGCCCAGAGCTTAGCACAGACCCGCCCACGCCCATACAGCATGGCAGGCTTTGGCCCACAGGTATTCCAACATGTAGCATCCGTCATCCGTGCAGTTTCTACACTCGTCAAAGTTGTTTTATAAATTTGCATTTCCTATCAGATTTAGTGCTGTGTTGCATAATTGGATATGAGTAATCCTGCAGTAACCGAGAATGACACTTCAGCTCTATTTATGTTGCCACCTAGTGTTTTTATGTAATATAGCATGTACCCCAGTAGCATCTTTGCTGTGTCTTAATGAAAAATCCTTTTTTTTTCAGCCCGCTATTGAGGATTATGATGCCCGCTTTGCCACAAGGTAAGTGAATTAACTGCTTTACCCTCCAAGTTTTGAATGAGGCTGTATGAGTGCCACTGCCACGTCATTGGCAGTTTAGAGAATTTAGTTCAAAGATGTATCCAAAATGACTGCTGTATTTGTCAAACAATCTTTTTGCAATTTGATCAAATACTCAATTGGCTGCAGTATGCACAGAAAAACAAACAAAAAAAGTTCCCCAAGGTTTAACTGAAGTGCAAAATGCTATTTGCTTTCCAACATCTTGAGTATGACCTGATTTTAACTCATTTTAATCATACTTTGTTTTGCATATTCAGAGACATCTCGTCAACCAACGTGTTTGGCTTATAATTTGACAATGATTTTTGTCAAAATAATTTAAAGATTTACCTTTTCACTTTCTGTTGCTTGTTTAAGGTTTAATGAGGAGTTGAACTCTTGCAATATACTCATATTGCTCGAGTTGAAAGATATTCACCTTTCAGTTGAATGCAAATTGTTTGCTTTGAATATTTTTGCTGTATGCTTCATCTTTTCCTCTTTGCTCTTCCTCATGTCTGTTTTGTTTAAAAAAAAAACATCTTTTTTATAGTAACTATTGCTGCCTATCAGGATTGGTATCTCTTTTTTTTTCCTTTTTTTTTTTTTTTTCATCAGTGCTCTTGGCCCAGGATATTTTAACAGAAATCCTATCAAGTCTTTGCTGGCTTCCAGGGTTGTGTGAGGTTGAGGTTAGGAACAATGCTGTGCCTGTACCTGTCCAGTCAGGCAGTACATCCTTCTATACGCATATATAAATGTGTGAGAGATGGTGTCCGAGAGATGGGAAAAAGGTTTTCGAATGATGTGCATTTGTATTGGTGTTTGGTGGAGTACGTGTTGTGACAGTAGTCATCATGCTGACTTCATCTCAGTCATCTCTGCTTGTCAGCCTGGGGCATTAAGCAACAGTGTCAAGCTGTTACACACTCCTGTCTGCTCTAAATGTGTTTGTTTTCTGTACCAGTATTTTGACATAACACTGTCCAGCCGGGTGTATTCACCCCAACAGACTAATTTTGCATCCCTCTATATATAAGGAGATGACTTAATGATTTCCTCATCAACTGCAGCATCTGGATTAAAAAGAGACTAAAAATGTTCTTTGTCTGTTAAACAATTTCAAGCCAGCCAGCATGTCCGTTTGAAAGTGTTGATGAGGGAATTGGAAGTCTAATCTTCCTGATATTGGCAGGTGTATTTGGAGTTTGCAGGTGGGGTGACACAAATTTCGACATTCCACCTCCCAAACTCCACCCTGCCTTCTTGTACCTGTCTTGTCTTTCTCCATTTCTCTCTGAGTGTGTCCGACCTGGCAAGCTTCCTTCTCTCTTTGTTCCACAGTGACAGTCCTGATGGCAAATTGATTTCGACTGTGTGAGAACAGACATACAGGCAGAAACAGACAGCTCCGGATAGAACAGGGGCCTCTTCCTCCCCATCTTTCCCTCATCTTAGCCTCCCTCCTGTCCGCTTATCTCCACCTCTCCTCCTTCTGCCTCCACACACACCCCTTCTCCCCGAATGGAAGAGGCCAGTTTCATCCCTCCTTTCTGTCCTCTCTTCCTCCCCGGGTCCCTCCTTTCCTCCTTCTGTCCGTCCTGGGTACTGCTGCTGGTGGCGTCGGTGTGGACAGTAGCGGTTGGTGGGTGGAGGATTGCGTTGAGCGAGAGGGCCAGAGCGGGGCCTACCTGCTCGGCATGCAGCGATATGGACTCTGAAAACTCTGTCTGATCATAGTCCACTATCATGGACTGATCTGTCAAGAGACTGCCTTTGCTACTGCTTGTCTTTCATGCATGTACATGGTTGTGTCATTTTGTCAAAACTAAAAGACATGTTCATGTACTGTACAAGTGCCAAAAGACTTCTATGTCATTGTATTTAAGCCACTGACTGAATGGCCTTTTTAAGCACACGTGGGCCCACTTTTCTGGACTTCCCACCCAAAACAAATGCTCAAAAAGCTTTGTTCAAAGTAAGGCTGTGCAACAGCTTCATGTTTCTTTTCTGAGAGATCCCATTGGTCCTTGTGCTTCCTTGTGTCAGTGCTAGACTTTATTTTTCATCCAGAAGGACTGTCATATTTGCCTTACTTTGCTTTCTTTCCTACTGAACATATTTTATGTGCAATGAAGCAAAAATATCAGAGCTTCTAAAATATACGTTCATATATTGATTAAAGCTATTTCCATATGTCCAATAATTTGCGCTTAAAAATGAAATGCCTCACACCAGTTGTCTTTCCTTTTTTAAATTTTATTTTATTTAAAAAAAAACTGTAGTGCGTATGGAATTTCTGTCACTGCCTAATGTGAGTTTGCACAATATGAGATGCGCCTGCTCAAACAACACTTGCGCATGCGCCATAGCGGACTAACACTCTTCTTCTTATTTACTGAAAATCAAGATGCTCTGTTTTGATTATGTACGTTGCCACTATGCACATGTCCCTAAAACTAACTGTAATTTTCTCACCTCGTTAATGCTTTTCATTCAGTTTTGATTGTTTTAAACACCGTGAAATTGAAACATTCATATACTCTGTGACTTTCACTCCAAATGTAGATCTCCACACCACCAGGTTGCTTGATGACGTGTGAATAAAAACCGACAAATAAACTTTGATAAAGAAGGGCACTCTGTCACTTCATTTCAACACCCTGAAGCACATCGAATCAGGTGCCTTCTGATGGATTGATGCCATTAGAACAAGCATCAGCGGATCCATTTTCTTCTCAATAAATACTAAGATGCCAGGTTTTGGTACAGAGTTGTTTGTTGTTTTTTCAAAAGTAGCAGATACAACAATTTAATGATAGAGGTTCCATAGATCTTCATTATACCACAGCGAGTCCATCTTACATGAGTCAGCAGCTCACATCTGGGAGTGACAGGGTCTGAAGTTGTTCTTATGTCCTCAATGACAGCTGTTTAACTAGTTTGTTTTGGGTTTTTTTGGTTTCTTTGCAGCTTTCAGTGTTATATATGATTGTATTCTCTGAGTGGCTATGTAGTTTTTGGTATTTTTCTTTAGAAAAAAAAAATAGATGCTGTCTTTGTAACTGCTTTCCAGACACAAAAAACAAACCTACTGAATAGTTGAAGTGTTTCTATTATGCATGCCGTGGAGGGAAACCAGAAAATGTGACACGAAAATTTGACCTTGAATGTATGGTGACTTTTTACAAAGGTATTCTAAATAAAACATATCTCTATATATTAATAAACAGCCTGGCCTGGAGAGAAATCTGTTCTGCCGGTGATGGCTTTTTCACTTCTTTTTCAAATTCTAAACACTTACCTCTTTCTGAATCATTTGAAGTCCCAGCTTTGTCCCATGCATGCTGTGTCACCTCTCTCCTCCCTGAGCATCCATAGCATCTGTGCTGCTGTCATTGTAGAAAAGAAGAGTGTGAATTGGTGATTTGTACAGTATGCTTATTGTGAGTGACTTTTTCTGCCTGCCTTTTTTTAAATTTACATTTATTTTGGTTGCGTGCCACGTTATTTTACCCGTGTTTGACTAGTGTTTGAGTTAGAGAAGCAACACTTTTTGGCACACACAATGTCTTGCTAACCTTTTTCAGTTTACAGTCAAATTTGTCCCAATGAACACAGCATAAAGTTGAAAAAGCATATTGTTTTGCAAACAGTATGGCATGTTGAGCATGAAGTGTTATGCATCCTTCATTTCAGTGAATAACAACAGTATGTTCATCTTGCATCAGCCTAACAAGTGTCTTTACTAATTGTAACCCATGCATCTGAGAGATGTACCATTCAAACCCAAAGGTTCTCTTTACCTTCCAGTTTGGGTCCAGAATTGTCTCGGTTCTGAGGGAACAGGACCTCCGTAAGTCTCCAGTCTCCATCGTTTCTCAGCAGACCAATCTCCTTTCATCTTCTTTCAACTGATACCTGTTCCTTTCTGTTGTCACTGGCTGTGTGGCTGCGTTAGGATGCTGGAAATAGCTTATCTTTCCTGTATTTGGCCTTTGAGGATGTGACGGCATTTGGTTCTGTCTATCCAGCAGGCCTTAAGTTGTGTGTCGGAACTTTTATTCTTTCTTTTGTATGCTGAGATTATGCGCATATGAGACTAACCATGCATGCACATTCCGAACTCTTTTCCCATCTTATTTTAGCATTTTCGCCATCACATGCTTGCTACACCTTCCAAAATCCCAACCTTTTTTCTGACTTACTGTAAGACACTATGAGGACAAATTTCTGTGGCTGTGGTGTCATAATCAAATGTGTGCTTTGCCAATCATCTATGATATTCATTCTAACTATCAGTGTTCCTTGTCTCACCCTTCCTCTCCCTGCAGTGACCGTACCTTGGAGGTCTTCCTCAGGCCCACCTTCTCTGATGACCGGTCTGCACCTATGTACTACTAGCAGCCTGCTGTCTTCATTTTACACAATAGGCACTTTTAATAAGAGGAAAACGATAGCCATCACTGGCATGTCTCACTGTTTTCATGGAAAGGCCTACAATTGTGATTAGGGTAAAGTTTCACCTCTCTAACCACGTTAAACTACTAAAAATATCTTTTTTTTTTTTGCTCAGGAAATTTACTGAATAAATTTCCAATGTATGTTTTGCAGTCGCTCTCAACAACACGACGTCTCAGTCTGAACAAGAGCAAGACTGACTGTAGATTAGTGAATTATTTAGATCAGAGCAGTTATGGATAAAGCACAGCTTGGAAGTTTAGGTAATGATGCCATCCCAAAAAAATATTTATCTGCTTTCTGTTTTGGGATTAGCTTGTTCTCTTCGGAAATATGCACTGTAAATGTATCTGCAAGGTCATTAGCATTGATCCAGAGTGAAGGCACATTTTGCTTTAGCTGTTAAAGTGAGAGCTGGGAAAACACGAATGCCAGTTTGTTACTGTTTATATTAATGAAAGATCACAGAGAGCTTTTCTTGACAGTTTGGCAGGAAACAATAATTCTGCTTTTGTTAAGTAATGTAAAACCTGATAACATTTTGTGATACAGTATACCCAGATTTTTAATGTGGGTGCTGTGCCTTCCACTATTTTTTGCTCATATATATTTTTCTTTAAACATATGATAGTATCAATAACCCTATTCAATAAACTGGTTTGAGGGAATTTACAATACACTTCCATTTTTATAGTTATAAAGATATTAGTGGGATTACTTCACATTTAGTTCTTTTTTTTTTTTTTTTTTGCTTGAGAGAGAGCTTTATTACATTTCAGTTGTGACTTCACAACACACAGGAATGTTTTGGATTGTCGGTTGGATTGAATCTTTTCTTATCATTTCCGCATTATCTAAGCTGCCAGATGGCCAAGAGTTTAAATAACGTGCTGCTTTATGGGGCTTTTTATATTAAGCTTTGATGGCTTGGTGATTTATCCGATAAGATACAGTATTATCATTACTTTTGATCATTCATTCTCAGTATTATACAATATACTCATCCAAGAAATAGTGGAATTCATATAAAGTGCATAGTGTGAAAGACAGCTGAGGGACTCATTGAAGAGGCAAAAACATGAATGGCTGTGTGAATGAGCTGATGTGCTTTTTGGAATCAAATTGAGAACTCTTGTGTTTCAAGAGATGAGTCATTAACACTGAGTGATATGGTCATGCTTCTGTTACAAAGCTTATCCCGGCATAAATTTTCACAAGCTTTTTCTTTCTTTCTTCCTTTTTTTCTTTTTTACTTTTATATAGCTATCATCTTCTCAAATTGTGATCTTTGTCCTGTTTGTATTATATCTGAACTGTACAGAAAGTGCATTTCTGTAAATTATCTGATCAAAAATAAATAGAAACGTGCACAAATATCACCATTTTTTGTGTTTTTCTGTCATGATTTGGAGAGAAATGTTAAATAAAATGTGACAGTAAGTCTAAAAAAATCACAGACACAAAAGGAGGAAAAAAGACTTGGATTTATTTGTTTTGGGTATTACAACAGCCATGAGTGAGGAACAAATGGATACAGCAATGGTGTTACTACTAGTGCATAGATCAACCCACCTCACCTTCTCCAAAGGCATCTGCCACTTAAGCCAAAAGGCTTTGTAACATCTCTTTGGCAAATTGAGAGACGGTCATTCTATGTTGCATCTTTTTAAGTGTTTATACAAAAATATTGGTAATGTTTTCTTGTTTTGCTGATTTAAAAGGTAAGGTGAGAAAGGAAAAAGCGTTGGCACTTGGAGCTACAGAGAGACAGAGAAGGGGAGAGGGTTGTCCATACAGCAGTAGTAATTCAAGTCAAGCTACCTGCTACATGTTGATATAAGATTCATACAATAATTATCTTTTAATCTATTCTTTCTTTAAAGACCTCAGACTTGGGCTTTCATCACAAATATAATACTTTATGTATGATATAATTTGTAGAAAAAATACATAAAGGTGATAACATTCCACAGATATGACCGGGATGATTAGACAGACGATGATTTGTGTGGAAATGCTTCTCTGTCCATCTGATATTGTTTCTCTGATGAATAAATCTAATTTGAAGATTAAATCATGTTTAAGAAAAGAAAACAATTACATAGCTTTGTGTGGACACAAACTGTGGATGTGACATATTTTTTCTTTTTTTTGTTTTTATTCCAGGTTGAAGAGATTTTTAATAAATAAGGCTTCACAAAGTGCATTCACCAAAGTGATAAGCGGTAGTGGCAATATATGTTTACACTCAAAAATCACATTGAAGCCACCGACTCCCACATTTGGTATGATTTGAAAATGACTTGGATTCTGAGAAAAATTAAGCACCTCCAGTGACAGCATATCACTTCCAGCTTGACTGTTAAAGTCCCGTTTTTTTGTATAAATTCATTACAGCTTATGCAACAATAACCAACCACTGTCTTCCAGGTCTGACTATGAAAGCTGTAACAGTCTTAATTTGCAAGAAAAGCCAGATCCATGGTAAGCAGATGTGCAAACGCAGCCAATGAGAGGAGTAGCTATGATGACCTATCATTTCACTTATTTCATTCTTTTTATTTTCTGATTAATCTTGTAATATACTTTTTAAAAGAACTGTACGTTCACCAAAGGAAATGAGTGCTGCACTGAGCAAATGTTGTATGAGTGCTGCATGTAAATCTACAGAATATAAGATTTCTACATCTGAAAACAATTCGATTTTACTTTGAATTCACCTTCTGGGGTCGTCACAATCGATTGCCACGTCTACATCTATTGCTCTTTCTTTGTGAAATAAAAAGCGGTGTGCAAATCGTTTGGGACATTTCACTACAACAATGAGGCACTGTCCCATACAGGGTCACTGAGGTCAGATGCCCCAAATTGAGTTAAAAATAAAACTCTGTAAAACACAAATAATGCTGCTTTTCTGTGTTGAGCAGGACTTAGACTCGCCCCCGACTGGCCTTTGTCACAGGGAGCTCAATCCTGGGGATTATCCTCAATGTTCCCTGTTGAGCACAAGCACAAGTGCACGAGATTAGTTAATAATTAAACACTGTTCACAGTTGAATCAACAACTTTTGCCTGGCACATTTTTAACAGACTGAACTAAAAAGAGCTGCGGAGGCCAGAACATTATCAACAAAATGAGCCATTAACCGAAATAAATAAGCACCACAGACCTGCTGCTGAGCCCATTTGGGGGTCACACACATGTGTGATCGAGAATCGTGAGACCATGAAACGGTTAAGTGCCACCGGGGCGGCTTTAGGAGCCTCTGGGCTGTTGGAAATGGATGTGGGTGAGGACATAGGATCAGGGTTGTTGTGAGCCGAAGGTGTGTTGGACTCAAAGAAGGGGTCATCTCCCCACACACAGCTTGTGTCTGAATCTACACAGATAAGACAAGAGTGACTGTAGTGATGGATCTGGAGGGAACAATCTGACCACAGTGAGTGGCATTGTGTTTCCTCACCCTCATCTGAAGTCTTCTCATCTGTTTCTCTAGAAACACAGGAGGCATTGCAGGACTCAGTCTTTTGCTCTGAGTCTGAGGATTCCTGCCCACTTGTCTCTTCTCCTGTTGAGAAGGAATAGTCAGCTAGCTCTCCTGTGGGGCTTTCCTAGAAGACACAAACAATAATTAAGTAATCAAAATGTCTGACTACAATTCACAGTACAGAGTCATCTATTGATGCGTTGTACCTGGTCAAAGAGAAACACTGTAACGTCGTCAAAGAATGACACGGCTTTTTTCTTCCTGTCCAGCTCATCACAGAAGGACTCTGTGAGCAGGGTGGGCATCTTCAGGAGGCTACGGAGGTGGCTCGCCCTGCTGCAGTCACTAATCACCACTGGCACAGGGGTGACATCCTCCTCGCTGTCCTCGCTGTCTTCATCTTGGATGTTGTACGTCCTCAGTTCTTCGTCAGACTCACTGTCGTCTGAGTCATCTTCTCCTTCTGCCTCCTCCAGCGGAGCTCTTACATCTTCCCCGCAAAGCTCCAACAATGATGAGGACGTGGAAAGGTCATGAGGACAATTAGATTCTTCACATAAGCTGTCGCATTCCTCTGCATCTATGTCTTCGAAATCTTCTTCGTTTATTCTAAGGCACTCCCTCTTGTCCTCTGTTTCCTCGCTGACATGGCTGTATTCAGGCAGCTCCTCCTCTTCAGTAGATCCATCCCCGTTTTCATCTCTGTAGTCAGGTATGGTGTGACCTGACAACAATGACTGGACAGTAGAGCAGTCCTCTGCCTTCCTGCCCCCATCATCGTGGTTTGCCGAGGCCTCCTGGACAGTACAGGAGTGTTCTGAACCGATGGACGAGCTGAGCTCTGAGGGGGGCTCATCCCCCGAGTGCTCTGTCTCCAACCCAAGATCATCTTCTGCAGGGGCTGACTCTTTGGTAAGGCAGCCACCCATTTGTGGAGGAAACGGTGACAACATGGACAAACCAGGGGTTGGAAAACAGTGGGGTGAACTTGAGTCACCTGCTGAGAGATTCACCAAAACACAGCTCTTGATGTGTTGTGGATTTGTTATTTTTTTCCCATTTGTGAACTGTTTTCCAAAAAATCCATCTCCACGACATTTCAAATGTTCAGAAGGACAGTAATTACCTGAACCTGCAAAGAATTGACCACCTTCTTCTTGAGGACTCCGCTCATTTTCTGCATCATAGTCAGAGAAGTAAGCTGAGTCCCTGTATGTTTTCTTGTCTGCCAGGCCCTTCACGTGGTGCTCTGAGGCCATTGTGGAAGTGCAGATCCCTTGTCCTAAACCCATCTGCAGAACAATTTCAGGTTCTCCACCCAGCCGAGGGCTCCTTTCACTCAAGGGATCTCCAAGCTCCTTAAAAAGAAACTCTGGAGATTCATTGTTCTCTGTGTCATAGCCACTGTCCAGAGATTTGGGTAAGATGGGTGTATTGAAGGTATCAGGGCTAAAGGCCTGATCACAGGAGCTTGCCGCTGATGACAAGTTGATGGTGTCTACAGATTCAGGAGTCCTCTCCAGATTCTTCTCTGGGCTGAAGTCTTCGTCTTCCGCCCCACCATAGTCAAGGTTGAAGTCTGCAAAAATTCCTGATGTAATATCTGCTATGTCATCATCATCCTCACTGTACTCACCAAGCTCAACCATACAACTGCTGGAGTCTCTTATCCCCACTCCACAGTCCAAGGGTCTGGTGTCCTCTGATGTCTCAGCCCAGTTTATTCTATTGTTACTCAGACTCACACACACTCCAGCTGAAACTCCCTCCCAGATGTTGCTCCTCTGCTTGTCTGATAAGGCTTGTTTTTGCCCAGTTTGGGGATCCCTTGAAGACGATGGACACTTTGTATAGTTTGCCTTAGGTGTTGCCTCTGAATATGTCCTGTCTTTATTGATCTGTGATACCATTTCATGTTGCCCTTCAATATTTTGAATTCTTCCAACACTGGTATTTATATTTAAACTAGGGCGAGGATCACTGCATTGCAACTTATCTATTTTTATCTGCCTTTCCTCTTGAATTGCAGCTTCCTTTTTTTCCTTGCTGCATAAGTGAATGTATGAACTTGACTCAGGGGATCTGAAAACAGAACTACAACCAGAGTCTGCTTGTCTGCCCTCCAAGGCACTAGAGCTATGGAAGGTTTTCGTGGTAGCCTTGCTTAAAGACCATAACTCGGTGGCGTTTGATTGGAGATCCAGATAGCTGTCATTACCATAAATTGTCTGTCTGCTTTCGAAGCTTAAACTATTATTGTTTGCTGAATGGTTTGAGATCCAGTTGGTGGCTTCTCCTTCAGAGAATAAGTCTTCCTCGATTTCTCCACCTACCCTCTGCCCCATCAGTAGAACCTCATCTGTTCCCACATTCATGTTAATATGGTTAACAATAGGAATTGTCTTTCTCAGGGGACCCACCATATCATGGCAGGTTTCATTCACCACACTATGACCTGTGTTTGCTTCAAGATAAGGATCACAGAACCCTAAGCTTGGACTGCTGACTGCTTGTGATAAACTGCGTTGGTGTTCTAACTGGCCACCTGGACGCAGAACATTTGACTGATACTCTGGAGACACCTCCAGTTCAGACAGACAGGACTGGTGCTGCGACCTTCTTGCTGCTGAGTGCTCACTGTAGACTGTGACACTTGGATTGGATTGAATATAATTCTGAGATTGGCCTAATTTTACAGGACTGGTACTGGATGAATGCCTCAGCAGTGGCTCCATGGTCGGACTTGAGTCAGAGTCATTCGCATTTAATTCCGTGGTGTCAACAGTGGACCAGTAAGCACTGGAATGTGCCATAGTTGAACCAGTTTGGCCCTCAGACTGTCTGCTGATGCTAGCTTCCAGTCCAGGGCTGCAGTCCACATCATTATCATCAAGCTTGATGTTACTCCGCACTGGTTCCTCTATGCGAATGTAGTACTCGCTGCTGACTGAAGGGCTGTGGGCACTTAATACCGGGACAACGCCTGTGTGTTCAGGTTCATAATAAGACGGGGACACACTCGAGTTCAGGCTGTCAGTTCTGCAGCCCCCCGAGGAACTTCCTTTGCTTGAATAGTAGACATCCTGGTAGTGTGGGTTACCCTGGCCCAGTTGCCCGCTGGTGGAGGAGGAGCAGTAGGGTTGCTCTGCTCGGGCCTGCTCCCACTTGTACTCAAAGTTAAGACCGTGACTTGTCTCTGTGACAGTCAGTAAGTCATCTCCCGTGTCAGAGTGGAAACCATCAGAGAAGTGCTCCAGCAAAGGGAAGGATGACGAGGCAGAGGAGGCCAGCTCTACCGCCTGGGTCTCGTCTGTGCTGTGATGGTCAGCAGAGGCGGGTGTGGGTGTGGGTGTCAGGACTAGGGCTGCGGGCGCAGCTGTGTGAGAAGTGCTGCCTAGAAGGTTGGGTCTCAAAGTATTCCAGCGTTGCTCAAAGTCTTCCTCCGCCTCACTGGAGCCCTTGGCGCACAAGTATGTGATCAGAAGATGTACTTCCTCACTGCTGGGTCTGAGCTCTGGTTGTAGCCAGCAGAACTGCATAACCTCATACCTGGAAAAGAGACAGAGAAAGAAGCTTAAAAGCAAATGTTTTGACTGAGTTATTCACAAAATTAAGCTTGCTATTATGAAAAAATGTAACAAAAGTTAATACGTTCAGAGTAGGTCTAGATTTCAGATAAAATTAGTAAAGAGACGCATAAGATATTTCATCTGAGAAACAACAGTAATAAAAACTGATAAGTATAAACAACATTTGGCTGGATCCAGCAGTAAATATGGATGAAGTGATCCAACTTTGGCAGATGCAAGAGGAATGATAAAGAATAGGGAAGTATTGATCTCTTGCTCGGACTGCTGCCCCACCTATGCCCAATTAAATACTTTAAGATAACAGGGCACACGATCTCATTATAAATAAATATGCCAGCTAGATTTATAGATACGATATTGTTGAAAATGTATGAAATGAACAAAATAAAACAAAGAGTCAGCAAGCATTTGTATGCATTGTATGTTTCTCTGAATGGGTGAATGTTTGAGCCTGTCTCACCAGCGGTCGGCAAGGGGGAACTGGAGCTGTGGTTTGGGTAGTTTAAGCTGCTGTTCCTTCACAGCATATGTCAGCACTTGTCTGTCAGAGTAGTGTCTGTATGGCTGGTTTCCCAACTCAAACAGCTCCCACATAGTGACTCCCAATGACCTGGAACAAGCAAGAAAAGCTTTCAGGATGTTCAGTGCTCATATACAGCACCTGACAGCGCTCCAGAAAAGAGGCACAAACGTGGTAAACTACACGTATAACATAATGTGTCCTCAGACACAGGCTTATATACAATCAAAGCTGAAAAACTTTTAGGAATGACATGAATGTAGGTTATAATCTTCAAAAGATGATACTGGCTGGTAGCCACATCTTCGATCTTTCAATAACTCACCATATGTTACTAGTTTTGGTTTGATCGACAACCAGCAAGTTTCCATGGACTTCATCTATGAGCTCTGGTGCAATCCAGCGCAGAGGCACCCAAATTTGGTCTTGTGTTATGTAGTAGTCGTCCTGCAGAAGGAAGGATATCCACACATTTGAGCATCAGTAGGTTTGCAAGCTTTCTGCAAAAAATACATCAGATACTTTATAAAAGGGCTGACCTTGTATCGGCTGTGTGAAAGCCCATAGTCTCCGATCTTAACTGACATGTCTGAGGTTAGTTGACAGTTTCGCAAGGCCAAGTCACTGTTTTAGCAAAACAACAACAACAAAAAACAACAAAACTGCTGTTTAATCTTCAAAAAACAATTAAAGGTCTGCACACTGACATTCAATTACTCTAATAAATTTAGCAGAAGAAAGATTGATAAACTAGAAGATTAACAGTCACTTGCAACTTCTTGTTAGTCAAACCTGCCGACATGACGAAACAAACTACGTTAGAATGAATGCACAATAAGAACACTAGGAGGTCTAATCTCACCTCCTCCACACAGAAGTTTTCACATCGGCAGTTATGGATCAACTGCTGTTGCTGCCAACACATGGCAGACAGAAGCAAAGGGGTTCACCCCTTGCAACAAAATCACTGATGCTGGAGTTTGCGTAAACTACTCAGGCAGCACCAGGATGTTGTTGCAAGAAGAGACCAGCAGAGGGCACAATGACTTTTCTGATGGTCGCTACCGCTTAGTGTCATGAACACTAGATGGAGGCAAAAGGTATAGGACTGTAATCATGTACCTGTGGATAAAGTTGAATTTATGGAGATGTAGAAGCCCTGAAGCAATGTCACAGGCCATCTTCTGGAGGATCAAACTGTCAGGAGTTTCAGAATCAATAGTTACACAGCTCTGGAGGTAATTCTTAAGGTCACCCTGTTAGAAAAAAAAAGAAATGAGAAAATTGGATGCTTTCACTGAGTACGTGTACGTGCATATCATAAACATGAACAGCAAGTAATGAAATCTAGGATCTTTGTTACAGACTTAATAACCGATCCATTATAATTAGATTATGTCCTACCAGAGGGCAGAATTCCATGACAAGCAGATAGGGAGTGACCTCTGAACATTGTGCCAGACATTGTATGAGGGCAGGATGGTGAAGAGCTCTAACAGGTAAAGACACAATTAGAAAAAATTCATTTAAAAACCACTCAGAGCATAAGTAATAGAATCAATCACCAGCATTGTTTCATTATTTGTTGGAGGTTTTCATGCACAGAAAAAACAGTGCTATGTAAATTATTTTCTCTTTTCTTGTAAACTGACCGGTATGGCTGGACTTCTTCCAAGAACTGCATCTGCTCCTGGACACTGGCACTCGCCTTCAGCTCCTTCACCACTACCTGAGTGGTGCTGAGGCCGGCGTTGACTTCACCCAGCAAAACCTGCAACATGTATGTACAGTATGTGGACAGCAGAGTTGAGCTGGAATAAAAGGAACTTTTTTTTTCCAAAAAGCAGCATCAACATGAAGTCCCAAACTGGTAAACTAATGGTCTTCACAGAGTGCGAATTAGAATAGTGTGCAAACAAATGTTAGCATCACAAAAGCATGCACTGTACAGTAAATGGAAAGGAATCTACTGTAACTGTGAATTTATGCTCTTCTCCCACAGAGTTGACACCCTGACACAAGTGCCAAAGATTTGCCTCGCTAGAGTGAGATCTGATTAACCACGCATTCCACCAAGAGTAGAAAGCATCTAACTGCACACAAAATAGAGTAACAGCAGTTGTGTTTTTGCTAGTTTTTCTGAAGAAAATAACAACTGTAATGGTGACATCTTACTAAAAAAACTGCCTGTTTATTTTTGTTTAAGGCAAAAAACGATGTTTCACCTTTCCAAACCAGCCATGTCCAATCTCCTTTAGGTACAGCAGACTATGGCGGCCAAGGTCTGATGATTTCAGAAGCTGGACTAAAAGAAAACAGATACAAAGCATAAAATTATTTTTTGTCTGGAAGAACAAAAGATTGCTTAAAAGAGGTTACTAAATATTATACTGTATATGTTTCCCAAAAGAATGAAAAAGAACAAATAGAATGATTGCAGAAAAGAAAATTGAACGGAAATACTGTCTGACAATCTATCCAAGCAAAAAGCAAAGCAAAATCCTAAAACCACAAACATGTTATTGGCTTTGCATTTACAAGTAGAAGTAAGTTGGAGGAGGATGCCTGAAGGAAGAGGAATCATCAGTCAGATCATAATACTAAATAAAGGAGCAATTCTGCAAATGTTACCACTTTCCATACAAAATGAAATACCTCCATGGATCCTCATATCTCAAGAACTGAGATGTGAATGGTGAGTGGACAGAAGATGACGGAGCAGCGGAGCGGCCAGCCACCCTCCAGGCTGCAACAGGGACTGAGTTCGAGACCCCGGCAGAGATGAAGAGCTGGTTCAGAGTGTGAGAACCAAGAGCTCCAGCCCCAGGCATCTCACCCTCTTTGTGTGTGTGTGAGAAAGAGCCCACGGTCACAGATTGTATGTGATCGCCTCGGCAGGATTTAACCCTCCGAGCCCTCGCACAGCTGAACAAGCTCACCACGCTGCCTTTCCCCATCTGCACCAAGCCCCTTCTCCAACTGGGACACACACAAACACGCAATCTGTCCTCCTTTTGGGCTTTCCAGCTGTCGCACAAATTCAGAAATCCTTTGCCTCTATTAGGAGCTGCTCTAAAATCTACAAGAAACAGATGGAAAAAAAAGAGACTGAGTAAATGAACCGATCTGCCGAAGTGTCGACGCTTTCCCGAAGTCGACGCCTGCTCTGGGCTCAGAGATTTTCTTGCACACACTGGCCCGATGTGACCATCATGCATGTTGGTAGTATGCTGTCTGATGCACCAGCTCTACGCGCAGCTTCAAGACACCCAGTAATGACATAAGGTCCGCATAATGCCCGCCTTTCACCCAGAACAGCAGCATTTCTTAGCCAAACAAGACACAAACACCACTCTGTCCAATGCAGAAAAGATCTCTGTCATAAACTCTCACAGCCCCTATCTGAAGCCTGCCCTCCCTTCTCTTAGGTCCTGGTGCATGCCACCACCCTTCCCCTGTCTCTCCTCATTCTGTCACAGACCCCTCACTGTTTTCAGCCCATAATGCCAGTCCTCCGCTAGTGCGTTCCTTGGACATTTCAGACCGGCCTTATGCTCCCCCACTGCCCAGCCAGCCTAAAACAGGGCCATTGTTGGTTGGCTCATAGACACACTCATGCAGTGTCTCCTGGTACCCAGTGCACGAAGTACACATAGACACACACTAACAGGGCCACAAAGAGGACACATACAAGGCCTATTCTCCACTGGAACACTGGGCAGAGGTTTTCTCGGTGATAACAGACCCGGGCTTTTCCACCCAGCCCCCAGGACAGCACCATCTCTCCCCTTTCTGACACAAATGAGAGTTAAAAAGTAAGATGGTGCATTATTCCAAATGTGGAATGTGTGAGCGGGAGTGTGCATTCCTGCTTGGCTAATGGCATTCCCAGAAAAGATGGTATGACTCAGTGGGCCTGTTGGACCAGTGTGGCTGTTGAATTAAACACACAATGATTTTACATTCTAACTTCATGCCTTCATGCCTATGTAGGCATCAAGCCTACGTAGTGAAGATTTACATGACTTATTAAGGAAAATACAGCAGCAACGAGTGGGAAATCAGCATATATAAGTCAAGAGTAAACAGTGTGATGTGCACATAATGCTTACTTGCCTCCCAGAAAATACATTAGAATAAGAACACAAAAGAAATCAACAGTCTGTATATCAAGTACACAACTGACAGTTTTCTTGTCATTCTCATAACAAGGCCAATTGTGTTATTGGATGGTTCATGGTTGTTTTGGGTGTGTAGAATGAATGTGTGCAGCGTCAATATGCAACAAGGAGCTTCAATTTATCATAACTAAGCATAACTAAGAAAATAAGCAACTGAACAACATCTTATTATTTTATAAAGGTTTAGCTTACAGATTCCTTGATTTTTCTATAGAACGTTTTTTGTATCTTTGTGTCCAAATACTTGCATTAGTAAAAACATCAGCATGACGGTTATGGAAAACTAAATATGAATCATCTATATGATCACTACTTAAGCATTTCTAAATGTATTCATCCAAAAAAGTAGTAGTAATAACAGTCATTAAGTTTTACATAAGATAGAAGGAATGAGTCATAGACCACTCTCAATACTCAGAGGAAGACAATCTCCCTTTAACAATCTCTCATTTGACCATTTTTTCATTCCTCACCCTGCAACACCTGGGCCAATCAAATCCACGTAGCTATGGGGGACAGAGGCAAAGACAGCGATTGGCTACCAGCCTGGGGGTACCTTGTCCAATCATTGCTGGTACTCTCATCCTGGGATGCTGAGCAGCAACTAACCTCCCTTCTGGCTGAGCACAGTGTAGCACAGACAGCCAATGAGTCACGCAGGGAGAGGCACGTTCAGCACCGAGCCTGACAGTAAGGTCCACACAAGCACGTGACAGGCTCTGCCATGCACATTTGACCAGAAAACATGTAGGTGATACAAGGAAGCTGAGGGGTCTCAGATACGCAAAATGAATGAACTAATATAAATGTATATGCCTGTTTAAATTCTGTCAGTAGTCAATGTAGCGTTTTTCTCCAGTAGCCAACTATTTCAACACAAAAGTTGAATAGCACAGCAGTTTATCATTTCTATTTCACATTTCTAGTAGACCGAACCTTAGTGTTAGGTTTGAGACAATGGTCACAGTAGTTTGTCATGAATAGATGGAAATCCAAATAAAAAGGTGCAGAAAATTGTCTGACGTTTTCACTTGTTTTTTAGCAACTTTGCAGGACAAACACATTTTCCAGACCCCTGGACAATTATTATACATCATTCTTTTCAATAGAATTCAGATAAATAAACAAAAAAACATTTCTGGAAACCGATTAGACCTCAAACTTGGCGAAGAACAGAACAGAATCTGGAAAATAATTAAAGTTAAATGGAAATAGATTAGCTCTGGACATTCCAAGTAATACAGGCCAGGATGAAAATTTTAATGAAGTAATGTTGTAAAACTTGTGTTTTACAACAATACAGATTTCCAGGATTTTAGGAGCTGGGATTTTAAGAATAACTATACAATGAATTGGATGGAAATGCCTCATGATGTATTTGATAGTTGAATATGCTTGTAACCAAATGTCATAGGGTTAAACTACACTGTGACTAACTGGACTTCTATCAAACGTATTGATATTCTTTAAAAATGCTTCAATATGGATTTTCTTCAGAATTTTTGCAACCGAAATAACGATTTCCATTTTTTTTCATCACGTTCCAATACATTACAATCACCAGTTATAGATGAGAAACATAAAAAATGACTTCAGTAAGTAATGGAAACCAGTCCAAAAGAAGTATTATGTGAGGATGGGGATCTCTTACTGGATCTGCCGGGCTGTTTGGAGACAGGCAGGGAGACTTCAGTGAGAGGCAGGATGTAAACCTCAGGGCCATTCTGGGAGGATGGCGAGGCAAGGACGGAGAGGTCTGCCTGGTACTCCTCACCCTCAGCGTTTTCAAACTCCTGGTGAAAGGACACATGCTGGGATTAGTCATCACAGTCGCCCTTCACCGAGATGGTGGGAAACAATAGTTTAACTGTGGAGGGACTCAGATTCACTGAGGAACATCCACCTACCCATATACATAAATCATCTAGGTTGTGGGATGCATTGAGAGGGCCACTGCGCTGATACTGTGGGGGAAAAAGCGTATGCATACGGCTATTCATACTGCAGACACAAAGACCTTCTTTCACTCTGTTACTATCTTATGACAAATGAATATTGGTTTTTACTTTTTGGACGTTTAATAACTTTTACTAAAGCAATACTTTCCCTTAAGGGAAATGTCATCAACGTTTTTTTTTAATGAAGACGTGTCCTGATAAATCTAACTTTGATTTGACGGATTTAAACCGTAGAGTTTGAATGAACATACAGGACATGGCAAGCAATCGAGTGATTTTCTGTTGTACGAAGATGGAGCTTCAAGATCCCAGATATGATTGCCAACCTCTATGGTGAAAGAGATCAGTAAAGTCGAAAAACAGTCGCTCTATTGTCCACATTCATGAAAAGACAGAGACTACCAATCTGTTTGACTTTTTTACTGAATGAATCAGTAATTTTCTGCCTATAATACTTAATAGCTGATGCAACCATGACAACAGTGCTACCTAGAAATGTAATATTTTAACATTCAGGTTTAAAGCATGAGAGGGCAATCTTTTGATTCTACTTTATTTATTTGCATTAAAAATATATATTTCATTCTTCTTCATTCTAATCCATCTTTAATGGATTTAAGCTAAGAAGAGTGTTCCACCACATAATCTTCCAATAAACCAAGATAAACTTTTCTGCAGTTCCATGCAATAGTGCTTTGTTCATGAAACATTCATCCTTTTTGTGACTCACAAATTGCTTCGCACAACAAATCAACCTCCCACTTGGAATAACAACACATGTATAGAAAACAGAAAAAAAAGTCAAGAGAAACTGGTTAAAAGCCGAAGCAAGGGCTGCAAATAGAATCAATATCTATATGGCTCTGTGTGTTTGTTTGTGTGATGAAGTATGAGTGTGTGTACAGAGGAATGCGTGTCGATGTGCTTCTCATTCAGGAGAGCCATCTGCCACTCTCCTGTGAGTGAGGTGTGAAAGCGAGCACCTGGCTGTGAGTCAGCATTGCATAGCTCCCCAGAGAGCCTTCAGTTTAGAAAGCACTTAATACTCGGCCTCACGCTACACGCTCCAGTAAGAGCACGGTGATGGTGAGGAATAATGAAGCTTTTAAGCTGGTGCAGGGGAGCAAATTTACAGTCCCACATGAATGCACGGCAAACAAATAAAAAGTATCAGAACCAATTACGCATTCTTTAATGTTTGCAACTAATATGATGCATAGCCTTCAGCACTCACTAAATCAATTAGAACCCTATTAAAATGCTTTAGAAATCACTTGTGGAGCTCAGCTTTTTTTTAATCAAAAGTAAACAGGGCATATGTCGTAAAACAGGAGCATGACATCATTATGGTCATTCAGGACACTGAGACCTTTCCAGCTGAAAGGCAGGTGTTCACCTTGAACTGTATCATGAGCCAGTGCTGAAAGACAATACCTTTACCGGATCAATAGTTCCATACTGATATGTCAGCCAGGGTCACGTTTTATTAGGACAAGGTGAATTCATGATTCTCTGATGGTGCTTCAGCTGCTGGAGCCATCATCATTTTTTTTTCATTTCACAGTATAAGCAGCTTCTAAATCCTGCTGTTGCTTCAGGTTATCATGTCATACTTTCATGTTTCTATATGGAGCCGAAACTATCATGTTTAAAAAAAACTATTTACATGCACAGAGGGAAAGTTCAGCAACCAAATTTGATCCTCATTCGCGACATTAATATCCCTCTAGCACGCATCCACACACATGTCCAACTCATTACTCATCATATAGTGACAAGCTGCTCAGCTTTTGCCTGATTTGATTTATCCCAGCAAGCTTGCTGTATGGTGTTATTCAAAAGACAAATCAGTCTGTCACACAACTACAAATCAATTTGAAAAGGAGATTTTTTTTTAAATATGAGCAATTAACACTAATATTCAGAAACAAAAATATGAAGAAAATGCCAATATATCTGAAAACCAACAAAGAAAAGTGGGAGGTTACTGCAAAAGTTAATGGAGCAGCCGGTAGAGCAACTCAGGAGTTTGTGCTCTGTCGCCCTTCCCATATGCCCCCACCTGTGTCAGTCATTGTTGGCCTTTATCACAGGCTAAGTTCAGCTATGTTTGACACAGCATGACTGAGTCACACTGCCAGGCAAAGGCAGCACAGACACAATGTGTGCAACGCTGCATAGGTAAAGGGCTTTAAGTTAATTTAAAATGTGAATGCATATACAATTCTGACTTTTCATTTATAGTGCCTTTCCACATAATACCTTAAAACAATGCAACAAACAAGTATATTATTCATTCTATACCACAAAAGTTAAAATCATGATAATTCACTACTGTAACTAATTGTTTTGTGTTTTTCTATTGTCTTTTTTAATCTGCAACTCAACACATACATTTTGCAGATTTTCCATCTGTGACTCTATAACTCTGAAATATTATATTGTCAATTCATACCGTCAGTCAATTTGACAATTCCTGATAAAGCAGTCAGGATCGCAAATAAAAATTGATTTTCAACCACACAAGATGAACAGATTATACGCAGGTGAATGTAAAAAATGTCTCTTTTAAACCCTCTTCTTTGTGTTCCTTAAAATCAATCAATGTATGATTAAAAGGTTTTATAATTAATTTTAGATTAGAATACATGAAATGAGGGTTCTTGCCTTTTTCAGCCTTTTTATATGTCTTGGTATCTAAAGAGCTGGCTATGCTCCCTCTACATGACAGTCTCTCTACATGCAAGCCGTGCTCCCTTTCACTTCCAGCTGGGGGCAGCAGTGAGCTCACCTTGAAACCAATGTCTCCTTTCTTGCAGCAGAGACAAGCCAGCATGAGGAAGACGAAGGTGAAGAGGCCAGAAAAGGAAACAGCGACAACTGCAAGAGATGAAGGCCAAGACAGCTCGCTCAGAGGAGCCCCATCTGCAACATCAGAGGAGAATACAAACGTTAAAAGCGTAGAACTGAACTGTATAAAGATTAGCTGGCAAACAACACAGCCATACAGGAAATAAAAAAAAGAATAGAGATGATGGTGATTTGCATACACACATGCCCCTTTCATATTGGCAGCTTGATGAAATGAGCATACCCTCTTTCATTATTTGCATTCTGTTAAGGTTTGTATTTATCTCCACAGGGAGATGCACGCAACTGTAGTTGAATTACAGAGGCCTGTATGGAGTTAGGATTATGAAAGTACACACAAATTAATTTAATGTCTCATGTTTTAGGAAAAGAGCAGTTGTGGTGCTCATTCTGTCTTTCTGTACACTGCTGTTGTGTATGGAAATGCTGACTACAACTCTATAAACAGCTCTTTATTACTGGAATACTCTGCATAATCGCCCTCACAGCAACTCAAATCCTCTTCAAAGTAGAAGCTTTCCACAAAAATGCACACAATGCTGTTAAAGCAAAGTCCCTGGGATGGGTGACATGTTGAAAAAAAGATCATCACTCATTTGTTTCTGCGCATCTGCCATTGTCTTCCTGTGTGAATATGTGCAGCCCATATGTGTCCGTTTGTGTTTCAGCCTATAGTAACTTACATTAGGCTACAGAGCAGCATGTCAGCAGTTGGAGCACCGGGCTGTAATCTGATTTACAGTTTCAAATTTTCTGCTAACTCAGATGAAAGCAAGGAGACAAAAAAAAATGTAAGAAAGTTGAGAGTAGGAGAATGCAACAATCTAACAAAGTATATATACTGACTAATTATAACATACAGTATACCTGAACTATTCTTTCATGTTTGAATATCAGGAACTATTACATTTAATCAACCACAATCCTTTTATTTACTCTATCTGTGACTTTTTGTTGATCTCTGCATTGTCCCACTGTAACCATGTTGCTCTCTACACCATCAATTCTCAAGCAGTGTATGAGGAGCAGTGTATGAGGACTTAACCATTGGTCAATAAATTATTAGACACTTGACACTTGGTTATTTACCAACTACATCTTGGCAATTTGTGTAGAGTGCTCAGAAGCGATCTTCTGGAAATCCCAGTTGAAATATGCACATATTATGTGGTATATCTGGCCCTCACTAATATTTAAGGATTTCAAATGGAGTTATCAAGGCATCCTGCATTCATAAATGTCAGTAACTTCATGTTCTTTTTAAAGAGTGTCGTCTGACATTTTCAGTGAGGAGCAGAGGTTTCCCGAGGGAAGCTTTGAACTAAAGAGGCAATTTAGTAGCCTCTAAATACTGCAGAGGCAGCGATATCTTGATTCCTGCTGGTTGAGGATATGCTCAACATTTACTAACTTCCTGTAGAGAACATTATTATATAATAAAACATGGTGAAAAAAGCACAATTTTGCTAATGTGAAAAAATATTATAAATAATTGTTTATTGGTTTAGTATAGTGTATACAGGAACTAGTACATAAAAAACCTAATCTCCATCTCTAGAGGGGTTGGCTTGTTTTGTATTTTATAACATAATATTTCAGGAAAATTACTTAACAAATAAAACATATTTACGCATTTTCAGCTAACCTTTTACATTAAAAATGTACAGCAAACAATGAAGTTTGTCACGGAGGGTGCTAGCATGCATACAGAGATACAGGAGCATGTGTCTTTGTTGCAGACTGGGGGGACTAGAGTGTCTGAGACTCGTGTGTGTGTGTTGTTTCCGGCTCAGTGGCAGAGACCCCTGTGGTCCTGACCCATTTGGCTGCAGGGAACACACTGTTCCAGACCTGACAGGTCCAGCAGCCCAAACAGTACCACTCCAACTCAAGCCTGACCCTCAGGTCAAAGCTTCAAAGCCTGAAAAGCGTAAGATTGCACACACATGGCTGAATGCTAACAGAAAGGAACAGGACTTGTAAATCTTTTTGGTGGAGCAGGAGTGTGTGTGTGTGTATGTATGTGTATATGAGAGTGTGTGAGTGTGTGTGTGTGGGCACTGACCAGCCAACCCATCACCATGGAAACAACCAGATGGCCAACATATATTAGCTAATTATACTTCACAATGTGAAAAACCTCCCGCCCCTCTCATCACTGTTTGAAAACGCATATTTTTGCTGATGCCACATTTGTTGGCTCTGTCTCATATATTTCCCTGTTTGCAATGACAGCTTGTCAGTTTGCTTGTGTGCGGGAGTGCAAGTAAAATGAAAAAGAAAAAACTAAACCAAGCCGGCCCATTTCTCCATCCACTGCATACCACTACACGCAGCCTGAGTGGGAGGTGACGGGTACACGGCGTAGAATCTGATAGCGAAAATAAAGCGGATACTTCAAAAGCCTCTGAGAATATGTACCTTCAGTCATCTATTTCGAGTATTCCTTAATCTGCAGAGGATGGGGCTACATACTGCACCTCCACGTACAGCCTGAAGTGATAGACGGATATGAGAAAGAGGGGGCAAAGAGAGGATGCATGCTGCGCAACTGCTATCAAGCTGCGTCTGCCCATGTCCAATGAGAGGGAATGGTGAGTCAGAGTTTAGGAAGGACACAACATAAAACAAACATGTGCTGTATTTTGTGGAGGTGGTCGTTAAACTGTCTGTCACAGCTTGCAGTTCTACTTGCGAACTCCTCCTATATATATATATACTGTATATATATATAAATTATTATTTCGACAATTATTTACTTCCTCCGACATTGTCCAAATCCCTCCCCCTAAAAAAAACATCACTGCAAAGACCTTTGCGTACACTGATCAGTGTGCAGTCAGCACTAACATTATTTCAGAATTACCTAAAAGATAATATCTAAACGAAGGAAGAAGGCTCCCCATCCAAACTTATTTTAATAAACTGATACAAATGGACTATTTGTCCTACATTTCAAGCACAAGCCATTACTTGTTAGATTGCATTACACTGGACACTAACAAGGTTTCAATTTTCCACTGCTCCAATTTGGAATACTGATGGTACATGCTAGATAAAGGTGTAGTTGAGCTTAGGACAGCATCAGGTTGTTTACAGTCTGGTGGGCCTGACAGAGGATATCTGCACCATATGAGCAAATAATAAAAACTGCTCTGCAAAAAAACTATGTGGTGTTCTTTCAGTGACCACAAAAGAAACAAGTACAGTTTGAGGAAATTGCTGAGTTTAGAGATTTATTAGACGCTCAGACAGTCATAGTTACAGTCAGTTCAGATGCAGACCCCGAGGAGGGTCACAGCAATTCCTTTAAAATGGATGAGTAAGAGGAAGGTATTTTTTTAATGGAATGCTTTTGTATGCCAAAACCTCTTCGAAAATTAAAGATTACGAGAAGAAAATATATTTTAACGTCAGTGGCTGATCACTTAACAGTATTTGTAGGTTTTAGTAAGAAGAAAAAAGCTATGTTAAATTTAAAGGGCCACAGAAGACTATTGTTCTTTATATAAAAGCTCTGGATTTACTGATGATGTCTTTTTAAATATTAACTGGTCATAAGCTTTCTGTGTCAGTTTAACTACAAACACAACCGGATATTAAGTAAGTGATTCTGACCAAAAACTGCTAAAAATCCATTGTCCTTGAGTAAAATTATTAGTGACTGGATATTAATACAATGACAGAAACAGTTAGGTGGGTCCCTGTGATGGCTAGGTCGCAGAGGTAGTTTGCACTTCTTCAAGGCATCATTTTGAAACCAACAAGAAAAAATGGAAGCATGAATAACCTCTTCTCCATGTCAGTTGCTTAATGTACGAATTTGTGCAAATTATCATAGAAGCACTGACAAAATTCAAATTGGACCCCATTTCGGAAGACTTCAGTTACAACACAAGTTTGTCAAGTCTGATATGATCATATGGAGAGAAAAAGGACACAGTTTTCATAAATGTGACATTTAAAGAATACCCTTCACTCACTCCCCTCCCAGAGAATCTGTGAACCAAGCTGAACGACCCTGGTCCTCCATAAATATTTGAGACGCACACATCACTTCACCAGCTGCACAGCGAAATGAAAATAAAGCACTTAAAGCCGAGCTCATACCAGCTTTATTAAAACGCTGTCTCCAGCACTAGAGAGAGATGAGCAATGTCCTGAATGGAGAGAAGAGCAATAGAGTCTCTCTCCTACTGTCACATTTGAAGCTGATAATTAAAACGATGCAGTGGAGTAAAGAGCAAGAAGAAGGAGATAAATTAAGTACAACCAAAGCAGAAATGCTTTCTATTGCAGAAATCCAGACCTACATGTTAAAGTCTTACATCAAGAAGCTTGAAATTATGCAAAAATGCGCTGGATCAGTTCAGATTGTCAGATAATAGTAACATAATTTAATACTAAGCTGAGGACAAAGTGTACACCCCCTTAGCTGTCTACTGTATATATTTAGAAGACTGCAGTGCATTACACCACCAGAGGAAATATCAAAAGTGCAACAAAACTGAGTCAATCTAACGGAAGGAAACATATTTTACTGTCTGACGTGGCTCTTTAAATACTCAATGCACAGACAAAGGCTACGGAAGAGCGAGCAAGAAATGTACTCATGTAGCTCAGTGTTTGAAAGGGATGCACAGCCCAATGCTGAGTGTGTCCATGCATGCAGAAAAGATGAGGATGTGCTGTGTTAAGCACAGCCACTGAGCTTTGCATGGAAGACCATAAATAAAGCATATGCCGCTGAGGTAGTTTTCTGTTACTGTGCAGTAACAGTGACTGAAGTACCAGAACGTCAGGGCTGCTGCTGCTCGGTACACGTGCTCATAATTTGCATTCAACAAATCCGCTGAAAAATGGAAAAACCAGAGAGTGAAAAAAGGATTATAATTAATAAGATGGCAGAGAGAAGCAATTTTTAACTCCATACACTCTTGTCAAGGCTGGGGTTAAGCCATGTGGTCATGGTGAGACACTAAGCTCAGAAGATGCATCCACACAGGATGCCAAGTCAGTTTAAAATGTTTATAATAAATGAGAACAGGAGGTTTCTGTATATGTCTTTGACAGGGAGAATCTTCACAACTTTAATCCATTTGTGATGGATCTGGTAAACAAAACGTTGTATTCTCTGATTATAACATGTTTTCTCTTTGTAATTCACTGTTTTCTGTTCTCTCGCTGCTGAGAGCAGTGATCTGCTTTGTGATGGAGTAAGTGGTAAGATGATGACAATTGTCCAGGGATGTTCTCATTGCTTGGCAAATGTTTGGTTGTTTACTGGGATCTGCTCCTTGGCAGGTCAAACAAAATTTCAACCAATCAGCATGTGATTTGTGCATAGCTTAATCACTGCAGCTTATGCGTTATTAGCTTTTTGGTGGATTACCCCTGCATTGAAGAAATGTTTGAACATAGCATCTCTGTGAAGGAACGTAACACTTTTAAGATATGGCCACTCTATCTCAGCATCCCTCCCCTTTTTTTTTAAAGAAATTCTTAGTTTTGCAGTGTGGCTTCTCTACACACACAACTCTTGTTTTTGACCCAAGAACCTGCAGAGTTGCCACTGTGCCAAGCCACACACCACTGCAATCAAGCAGTCTTTAGAAAGAATGAATAGAATGAATGGAGGAATAACAACCTCACAAGACACTGTTTAAACAGAATTCAGTGGAATGGATATAAAAAGGGAAATAAATTATGTGACTAGAGTGTAACAGGTCTCAAGAGGAATGTGTGGTCAGAGGTGGTTTATGTTGTCTGTGGTTATTTCCAAGATAAGTTGTTGGTGCAGTTTCCAACCAATCATAAAGCCACAGTACAGATGTAACATTTGACCCTATGTTTAGCGTGAAGAGGAGCGTTCATGTTATCTTCGGTGTTTCAGCTTACAAATGGGATCACAGGACACTAAAGATAAAGATTGACATAGGTGCCAACACATATGCACCCTGACCGCTACCGGGCTGCTGTTTTCTGAATACCTGAGTAAACATTCAAATTAAAATTAATAAATCTGCAAAGCTCACATGAATTTTGATCAGGCATTGTTTTTAAACTGACAGTGGGTCAGCAGTCAAGACGGCCCTCACGAAAACAAATTTCAGATACTTATCAAAAGTTTATCTTCCAAAGTATTAGCTTGATGAAATGTATTGAACCTTCACAATGAGATGAGGGCTGCACACAGAAAGACGGGAAAGCAGTCTGCAAACACACACGTGCGCACAGATGTCAGATTAGGGAGGCATGGAGTGAGCAAGAGGAACAGGATGACATGATTAATGAAAGGATGTGGTATCCTCCACCAGTTCACTTCCTCTGTTGCTCCCCGTGCTCTCTGAGGACGACTGCAGATGGCAGGGAGTTGAGCTGGCCTGCAGAGAGCCATGATAACTGTCATTAACTGGGAGTCAGAACCCTGGGGGACCACCACGGATCAGTATTACAAGCCTGTCATGTATACCTTCTGACAGCCCCAGCAAAGGGTTCACAACTGGAACGGAGGGGTAAGAATAGCAACCTCATCTCTGCTGGACGGATCCCTTTTCATATTACCGTATATGAATTTATCAAACCAGCTGACAACAATACCAGGACACTGAATGTATAGGTGTAACGTAAATAAATAAACAATGTAATGGACTTGTATCATTTCACTAAAGACAATCATGATCTCTACTCTGAAGGTTTGACTGTATATCTTTTATTGGCATTGTCTAATTGTGAGTTCTTCACCTGACAGAGCTCAATGACACCAAAGACGAAATATAATGCGCTTGAGAACAATAATGGTGCAGATCAGTCATACATTTTGGTTTTCACCCTAAAACCTAAGGACAGTCAAACGCTTAGAGGACGTTACCTGTCAGATTTGCTGAAAAAAGACTAAAAACAAGGGGAAATAATAGAAAAAAATAAAATAAAATAGTTATTATTGGTAACCCATCTGTATTTACAAGCCTTTAAGGAGAAAGGACAGAATAAAAGTTTGGATTAATTATGGCTATTTCTTCATGCCCTAAAGACTATCCTCTTTAAACAAATCTAAGACCTTACGTTTAATAACGTCTTCAGCAAAAATGTGAGGCTCTCCTGGAGTATTTGGTTGACAAGTTGATACCGCAACGCTGTTCTGGGCACAAAGACTTCACCTTAGTTAATGAGGTTAACATCAACTGAAGAGGGGTCTTAGTGGGCTTGTTCTTCTCAGAACGTTGGAGGATGAATGACTTGCATTCTTACATGATGAGTAGAGTTAATCACCGGTTCGATAAAACAACCTATTTATCACAATTATGACATTAACTCATCAAGTAAAATATCGGATTCCTGTCAGAAACGTTGACCACTGCTCTTGTCCGAAGGCCGGGTGCAGTCTGAGAGCTGTTGCAATGCAGTATTTTATCACTAAACTTAGGAGTCTCCTCATCATTCACTTACACGAGGCGATTATACTGAAATACGACCCGACCAAATCTCATTTAACGTCTTTTACAGCTACTGACTTGACGGCAGCGGGAGTGGAGCATAATATGGTCAGTTAATAATATGTTATTAGCTTAGAAGTAATCAATATCAACATGTAATTGTTTTAGTGCTTTGGTGATAATATTGTAAAGCTACAATCCTATTGCCCCTCAAAGGAATGAGGTCTGAGGAAGAAAACTGAATCTGTTGGAGCTCACTGTTACTTTACCCATATGGAAAAGGATTAATTGTTTGTAATCACATAGAAAAACTTTAAATAATTGGCTTTAATTATCAAGGCAAGTGTACAATTCTCTCTTAATTACTGCTCAGCTTTAAACAAATGTAAATTTACAAAACACTAATCATCTAAAGGAATGTTTTGTTTTTCTCTTTCCGATTGATACAACAAAAATGTTTCACATTTGCACAACTTTACATATTTTGTAATATGACATGATTAATTAATGAGGCTCCGTTGTGAGCCTGACTGCTATGCACTCACAATCCAGGGCCCTCAAGTATTTAGACTTCTGGCGACACAAATGAGATACATGTGCAAGCCATATGCAGACCCCGGACGATGCACTTACGATGACTTCTCAGACAGAGTCTCATGATGCACACGAAGACAGAGTGTGTACTTGCATGTCTATGTCTATTAAGTAGATGCAACCAGAGAAAAAAAAGAAATTCCCCTGTTTTCTATTCACTTTTCCTATATTTGTTTTGGTTTTGCCAAACCTAATGTACAGCATTCAATTAATTCAATCCAAAAACGCTTCTGTGGTGAGTTTGAATCATTTTTAAGAGTTTAATTCTAAGCTATAATCATTAAAAACCAACTGCAAAATCCGAGACAGATTTCTTTTTTCCTTCACCAGTGCCATCCACCACAATGTGAGACGTCAACAGTTCGATAGTCAGCCATTTACAGTAAATTTAACGAGAAACAGCACAGACTCTGATGAATTAAACACAAGATGTGTCCCTCTCCTTATTGCACATTCCCTAAATCCACTTCATTCTTATTCCAGTTTCCCCCAGAGGCAGACTTATGCAACTAAAGTGCTCTCTATTACACATGATGAGATGCATAATCAAACAGTCAGCGGTGGCCGACTGGTTCTTACCGAATCAGTGGGAGGGGTACTGAAAGCATGTCAACATGCCTCTTTTTCAACATCTATCTCTGGGATTACCAACGTCTTAGCTGCAGACTGCAGCAGTGTTCCAGTGTGCACCAGAGGACACGTGTAAGGTTTGCTGAATGCACGGCGTTCAAGGCTGGAAACGTTTGCTTGTTATACTGTGTCTGCATCACAACACGACCCACAACAAGAAGGCTTTGTGCAACTCCCCCCTCCAGGCAAGACGGTGTGAACGAGCAGAGGAGAGGAGAGAGCTACAGACAGACTCCCACAGTGCTGCTCTGTCACTTTGTTAAGGTTTCAAAGCTTCCTTTCAAGTACGACTGTTGTCCATTTCCCCCTACGGTAAATTCAGATGAAAACGTTAATTCCCTCTGAACATGTGATACAACCGATACAGGCATGACTACGTCTACCCCCCCCCCC